TAATTGGTTTTTGGGAGTTGTTGGTAAGATGAATTGATGTAAATATTTAATAATACAATATAATATTGGTTATGTAATAGTATATGTGTGATTATATGTTATGAAAATGAAAAAATAAAACCTTTATAACATATTTACACTGTTACACAAGCTGTATACGCGCTACTTTACATTGTAGCCGAGTGTCATTTCTTCAGTGTTGTCACATGAAAAGATATCCTTAAGTATTTACAAAATGTGTTATAAAGGTTTTATTTTTTCATTTTCATAACATATAATCACATCAGTGGTGGGTTTCAAAAAAAATTGGAACCTCTTCTGTAGGTGTGGCCTGCTTTCCGGGTCCACTGGTGGAAACCCCTTCTAACCGGTTCAGTAGATTTGATGAACCGGTTCTACTGAATAGGTGCAAACTGGTAGGAACCCACCTCTGAATCACATGTATACTATTACATAACATCATATTGTATTATTAAATGTTTACATCAATTCATCTTACCATCCAAAACAATTGTTGGCTCTTCTGCTCTCCATACACTCTATTTGTACTTTATCCATCACTTTCTTCTCCCTCTCTCCTTCCCCTCCCTACCTCCTTTCTTCCCTCTGTCATCCTTCTCTTCTCTACTTTCCCTTCCTCTCTCCTCCTCCTTTGTATTTACAAAATGTGAGGGGGTGTATATCATTTCTGTGATATACCTATATATTCCTTGCAGACAGCTAGTCATTTGCATCCTTTTAGAGAGTAGTGGAGGCCACTTTTGGAGGTTTATCTCTGTCCTCAGGGTTTGCACCTGAGTAGTGCAAATGGGTGTGGAGCTTTCTTGGAACTGTTGAAAGGACTGTGTTGTAGACTGGAAATAGAGGGTGTTGAGTTGGAGGTGATAAAATGAAGTCCTTATGTCACAGATATCAGATTCTGATGAAACTTTAAGTCCCAAAATGGTGGACCGAACTGTATTGAAAAGCCAATATTGAGGTCTATCCCGATGGAGCCTAACTGTAGGTTCTTTATCGTTGGAAACGCCTCATAAAGTGACCGACTTGTGATTTCGTTTTGCCCATCAATCTCGGTTTGATGGGTGCAGTAAAATTGCAAGACAATAAAGATCTTAGGACAGGCCCAGCATTCCTCCTAAAGAACGGCCATGATGAATGCTTTCTCACTCTGCAGGTGGAGGAGGACGTCACACCTGTCGTGCTGACCCTTCTGAAAAGGTGATCCGTGAAAAGGTAAGGTGGCCAATTTTGCCTCGTTTAGTTTTGATCGTAGCCTTCAGAGCCTTTGATGGCACATAATCCCAACCTTCGGCCTGAAATTTGGATTGCTTAAAATACTTCCAGATCAGTGGTGGGATTTTTTACTACGGGTTTGGTGGGCGTGGCAGGGGAAGGATACTGTAAAATCTGCATTCGCACCCCAGGAGAAGGTTACTGCAAAACCTCAATTCCCTCTCGATCAGCTGGGACTTGGGAGGCAGAGAATAGATGGGGGCGGGGCCAGTCAGAGGTGGTATTTACCGGTTCTCCAAACTACTCAAAATTTCCGCTCCCAGTTCTCCAGAACTGGTCAGAACCTGCTGAAGGACACCTCTGGCGCTAAACCATCACTGAGCAAATGGATGTAAGCTGAGGACTACCTGTAATTAATATCCCAAGGCCATTATATTCCAATCCAACCTCCGTTCCAGATGACGAAATAACATAAAACAAGAGACTTGATTTTCCTTGAAGAAAATACGATTGCAGCGTCCTAAATGAAAACATACTCCTGTGTTCTATTTTAAATATCTTCAATAGATAATAGTAGGACCTTGCTTTCAGTTTTCACATTGAAGCCGGCAAGTGAAAATCCACCGCTAATTGCTGAAATAAATACACCTTTATTTAGATCATAATATTTTACAGGTAGCCCTTGATGGGTGACTGTTAAGAGCCCATCCTGGTTGTAAGCCGTGAGTCTTAAATTGGGTCATGTGTTCTGGCCCGGCAGGAGCCGTTAGAGCTGCCGATGGACTCCGATAGNATCTCCATCCCCACCCCACTCTGGGGCCAGCCAGATGTGGTATTTGCCGGTTCTCCGAACTACTCAAACTTTCCACTACCGGTTCTCCAGAACCTGCTGAATTTCACCCCTAGTTGGCACCCATTAGTACTTGGGGTATGTGAATTAATCTGTTTTGGAGAGGAATAAAGTTTGATGCAAACCGCTCCTTCCTGAAATGTTTTGCATTCCTTATTAATACATGGTTTGGGGATGTGTCTTTGTCACTCTGGAGAACCCCCCCCCACTTATAACCGCACTGTATGGTATCTGCAAGCAGCAGTTGTTCCTGATGGCTTGTTCAAAAAACAGTGCGAGATCAGTTCAGCATGTGGCATCGTTGGTTCTCAAGCTGCTGTGCTTGTGCAACCTGGTATTTTTGTTGAGACAAGTGGGAGCAGTGAAAAAAGTGTTAAGTTTAAGCCAAAAGTTCACCCGTGTGCACTAAAGGAAATTCAATCTTTTTGTTCTCAGGGCCGTTGTAACGTCAAACAAACTGTTGACTTAACGACCACAGTTGAGCCCAAAAGTTCCCAACATCGTCAGCAACTTCCAGGCGTCAACCATCTCTCCTGATGAAATCGTCGACGTTTCCCACAACAGCCCTGAGTTCAAGAACAGTGACGGCTCGTTGGCTCCATGCTTATGCAGAATCATTTGCAACGGTGCGATCCGCAAACTCAAAATACTTTGCCATATGTTGACGACTACTTGCATTATACAGCCTCGTTCCTGAAAAATGTCATCGTGAAATATTTTCTATTCCGGAAAAATCCCGACAAGGAACAATTAAAAGCTAGCTGCAGTCCTTTGAACTAATTTTTGAAGGTAATACTATAGGTTGGGGGTTTTGTTTTTTTTTTAAAAAAGAAATACTGTTTGTACCGTGGACTCAAGTTCAAATTCCTGCCTTGTTGATGTATCCCGTGTGGGCACATCTCATTTTGTGTCTGCCGAACGATGCAACGAGGCTACAGAAAACACAGGTTGTGCTTCCATCATTGTAAAACAAGTTATATTGGTGACAATGAGACCTGGGATAAACTTATTCTGCAGTTTCATTAGCAAATTTAAAGATCTCAGAAGGCGTAAGAGTCGGCGCTGGAGTCCGTTACATCACCAACTCCGTGCTTTGAGTTGTTAGTCCCTGCGTCAGATCTTTCGATGCTGGCTGGCAGTGATAGATAAGGGTAGCTGATAACATAGGGGTTCGTTTATTTTGCTCTTACCCAAAAGTAACACGGTAAAATCCGTTCAACAAAACATGTTCATTGAAGTGGGGAAAAAAGAAACTACCGTATTTTTTGGAGTATAAGACGCTCCAAAGTATAAGACGCTCCTAAGCTTGTGCTAATCAGGCTGAGATGAAACTGAAACAGGCTATTTGCTGTTTGCTGCAAGGAGGTAAATTGCTGAGAGGCAGAGGCCAAAGGGTGGGGGTGGGCGGGGCTACATTCGGTGTAGCTCCTAAATTTTCACCCTCTTTAAGGGCGAGGAGAGTATGTCTTATACGCCGATAAATACGGTATATTAGAGGAAAGCTGATCAAATTTAGACAAAACATTTTCTCTCTTTTTTTTAAAGGAAGTCTATGCATCTATGGTTCAAGTCAAGCTGTTGTGCTATTGAGCCAAGAAGATCCCAGATGCACATTTCAGATTAAACAAATGCCAGCAGACCATGGAGAACAACTAGGACCAGACCTCACCAGAGCATATAGAAAGGCTGACGAACCATCGTCAAGTCCCAAGACAAGCTGGAGAAAGGGAAGCCAAATTAAACTCCAGAATCAAAGGGAACCAGAGCCCAAATGGTTGGTCAACATGTCCAGGCCACCCACTATCTTCCTCAGAATACAACATCCTACATGAAAGCTCTAAATTATAACCCAGGGGATGCCAGTCAACTAGAATTCTTTGCCAGCCTTAGAAGAAGCTTTTATAAAACTATCGGATTTCCTATAGAGACACCACCACCCCCAAAAGCATCAGAAAGAAGACGAGAACAAAACCAACTCGAAGTAGAAGATGGAGCAACCCTCAAAAAATCTAGAGGTACCAAATTACCATCATCCTTCCAGAAGATGAGGGTTGAAACCAGGATTATTAGCATGGCTCCCATCAAAAATCCATACAAAAAGCGAAAGAGTTACGAGAAGACAAATTTGCATCGGCAAACACCAACCCGATAGCAAAACGAATCCTTTGGCTCAAGAGAATGCTCAATGACCTCACCAAGAAAGGGAAAATCGCCAAAGAAGAGCCAAGGTGTCGCATTGATTAGAGTGCAGTACTTATTAGCTGCAATTCAACGGTTCAAATCTCACCTGCTCAAGGTTGACTCAGCCTTCCATCCTTCCAAGGTGGGTAAAATGAGGACCCAGGTTGTTGGGGGCAATAAGCTGACTCTGTAAAAGAGCTCAGGGAGGGCTGTAAAAGCACTATGAAGCGGTATGTAAACCTAAATGCTATTGCTAAAGAAAAGACCAATGGCCAATGAAAAGTAGTGGACCCATCCTCTTATCCTTCTGTGGATACCCCAAAGCATGCAAGCCAGGCATACTTCTTCGTTCAGTTGTATCATTATCAGGAACTTCAACATACAACGTGGCTAAAGGATTGATTCAAAGACTCGGATACCTCCCAGAGGTATCGCCATCATTGGATGTCACAGCTCTTTTTACATCCATAGATCCAAAATCTGTGACAGCGCTGACCTAACCCTATACACCAAAATTGAATTAACCAGAAATGTGGACCATGCCAAACTTTACCTAGCCACGTACTTTTAGTTCGGCTGATACACATACCAACAGATCAGAGGAACCCCTGCGGGATCCCTGCTTCCTGAATGAATAGAGACTATAATATCGATAGCAGCCATATACACACAACCCAAAATATAGATCCAGGTACGTAGATGACACCTTTGTCATTATTTAAAAGGGCCAAGTAGGGAACACACAAGGACCCCATCAGCACCATCTTCAAAGGATTAAAATTCACTAGGGAATCACACTACCTTTCCTTGGATATCTTCATTCCAGATGGCAAATTGGTCATGGCAAATTAGAAATACACTGTCCGTTGTAAAGCCACCACCCCAACCAACAACAGACCGTTAGCAACCACATGGCGTCACTGCAGCCCACAATCCAACCAAAGCTCTCCAAAATAGAAATAAACCAAAAGACCCAGCAGCACCCCAGAAGAAGAAGAAAATCCAGGAATAATCTACAACATACATTGCAAGGCCCATAACAGCCACTCTGGACAAACAGGCAGAAGATGAGCAGGTCAAGGTCTGCAAACACCAATTAGCAGTCAGAAGACATGAAAACCCCTCACCATCGATAAACATCCAGATGAACCAGGATTAACACCCAAGATTAACAGACCAACCATCAAGAAGCAAACAATACCCCAATCAAGGGACTGGCAAGCTCACAGCCATCCACCAAGGCCACTCCTACCAACGCTGATAAGGCAAGCCCCACTCTAGTGTATGAAATGGGAAGAAACCCTACTCCCTAGTCGAACTGACGATATTACCTAGTTTGGTAATGAGATATCTGCAAGAAAACGACGACGCTCAGAAAGCACCAAGGACTCCGCCGTTCAACCCTGAGCTCTTCTACCAATACCCGTGGCAGATTTGGTAAGATATTGAAGTCATTAATCCTGAAACCGATAACCATTACTAATAGGTAGATAACTTTGGGATCTAGTGGGTTATCCTAGAAGGGCTTTTAAAATCGCAAATAATGCCACGCCAAAGCCTGGCGTGGAAATTGAGGTAGTGTTCATAAGACTGATGGGATTGTCGTGATGATTGGCAAAAGATGTTCAACTGCTCTGAAAAGAGAGAATGATGTGACAGCCATTCTGAACAAAGTGACTGAAGTATCCTTTCTACCCAAAGCTTGTGGGCTTTCTGGTCCCTTGCTGTATAAAAATGACATTTCTTGGGATTTTGTATCGCTGAGCCAAGGGAGAAGATGACCAAGGGGGCATAATTGGTTCTCAATACAATGGAAAGTAATCAATCAAGAAAGCGCCCTGAAACTAGCATGAGTGAATTAGTGGGCTCCCTTGTGGGTGATGACCAGAGGATGCATTCGGCCGGTTCAGATTGGTTCATGTGAACCGGTAGCAGAAATTTGAATCGGTTTGGAGAACCGGCAAATACCACCTCTGTCTGACCCCGTGCCCACCTGGCCCCCCCGCCCAGTCAACACATGTAAAATTAAATATGTATTCCCTTTAAAATACCCAACAAAATATTTCTGGTTTTAAATCTAGATGCTGCTTTACCATGGTTTCTAACCATGATACCACTAACTCTGGAATAGCTACTTGTCTCGAGTACAACCTGAGCCAAATACTGAACCTATCGTATTTTTTGGAGTATAAGACGCACCAAGATTTTGAAAAGACAAATTAAAAAAAATGTGTTTGCACTCTGCATGCCTCCTAAAAACGGCTCAGTTTTCATAAAAACAGGCCTGGTTTTTGTAAAAAAAAAAAAGGGGGGGGACATACATAGCCTTTACGAGGCTTGTAGAGTGTTCCCGGAGGTAGGGGATGAGGGCAAAAATGAGCAAAAAATGGCCCAGTTTTCGCAAGAACGGGCCCATTTTTTGTCAAAAAAAGGGCATGCATAGCCCTTAGGAGGCTTCCAGAGTGCTGCTGGGGGGAGCAAAAAACAGCCTGTTTTTCTCCACCTCCACCCCCCCCCCCAAGCACTCTGGAAGCCTCCTAAAGGCAATGCATGGCCATTTTTGCAAAGGGAGGCCAAAAATGCTGTATTCAGTGTATAAGACGCACCCAGATTTTCAGCCTCTTTTTTGAGGGTAAAAGGTGCGTCTTATACTCTGAAAAATACGGTAATCCATATATTCCTGTTTTTTGAACTGAGGAATAAATTTCAGAAAAAGAATTCAGTATTACTCTCTGAATGCAGTGGTGGGTTCCTATCGGTTCAACCAAACGGGTAGTGGCATGCCGGCCTGGGTCGCAGAACCCGCAGCGACCCAGGCTGGCCACGCCTCCGAGACGGTTCCCCCATTGCCGCAGTCACGGCCGCCCTCTTGTTTTTGAGTTCTGTACATGCGCAGAACAAGCACGCCTGCACGCGCAGCATGCATCCAGCCCCCTCGCAAAGCGCACCCATGAGTGAACCGGCAGTAACGCCAGCTAGAACCCACCCCTGTGTGAATGTACCTATGAAATTCATTTTTCTTGATATAACTTCTAAGATGATTTTGTACACTATATCTTTTTTTGTTTGTTGGGAACAAGTACATTGTTGGGTGAAAGCAGGTGTCCCTCCTGTTACCTGTAGGACCTGTAGTCCTCGACTTACAACCACAATCGAGTCCAAAGCACAATTTATTTCTTTTGCAGAAGTAGCCTTTAACAGGATGAAAAGGCAACAAGAGTTTGACCCCTTCCTTCAGCAAGAAAACGAGATCGGAACCAGATGCAACAGTATTGGCCTCGGGTGATCCAAAATCATCACAAGCACCATTACAAGCACCACCGCTTGTGAGCAAGAAGAGAAGAGCAGAACCAGACTCGACTTGCAAGGTAGTTGAAATTGATAGCCGAGGTTTTCTATGACTATAGGAAGAGAAGAATACAACTGTTGTAGCCTTGCCCCACTTATTGTATGTTTTTCTGCAGCTGCAAGTTGACCGCTGGTTTTCCCTGGTGAGCCCACAGCATCAGATGAAGAAACAGGCATGGTATGGAATCTCATCTCCTTTTCATCTTTCAAACTTTGAGCAGTACATTGAATTTCGTCTGGGTTTTTATATACACCTACCGATACATTTTTAGCTGATGGAATTCTTTGAGTTTGAGATCTGTGGAGATTCTCAAATCATCCAGGTTGTTGTTGTCCCAAAGGTGTTTTTTTTTCCCCCAAGACGCAACTAGACTGGAGAAGCTTCTTGGGTGAGAAACGAACATCTTCTAACAAAAACTGGAAAGCCCAATTGCCTCTTGAAAACAAAAAAGCATCTTTTGGACTCTGACTGGATGGTGGGGATTGGAAGGATTTACAGTATATCACAGAAGTGAATACCCCCCCCCCCCCCACATTTTTGTTGCCAGCAGTTTAGACATGAATGGCTGTATGTTGCGTTAATTTCGAGGGGACAACATATTTACACTGTTACACAAGCTGTATACGCGCTACTTTACATTGTAGCCGAGTGTCATTTCTTCAGTGTTGTCACATGAAAAGATATCCTTAAGTATTTACAAAATGTGTTATAAAGGTTTTATTTTTTCATTTTCATAACATA